GTTCAACGACACGTATCACCTTAATCGTTTATTTCTCACAGATAAACCGTTTTGTAATCAGTTTTCTCAGTATCAGTCGGTGAGCATAGCTGAATTGTGATGAAAATGAAAATAAAGGGAAAATGAAGTTTTTAATCTTCTATCTATGTAGGAAATTTCACCAGCAAATGAAACCACTTTAAGTCTGTTCAATTAAGTATTTTTTTAAGAAACATGACTTTTTAGTAGAATCGATATCGAATCGATTTTTTTCTTCCCCAAAAAATATTGCTAACTCTTTTTGGTGTGGTAAAAAATGTGAGCTTATCTAATTTCGAATACAAGATAAATCTTATCTTAATTCTCGTCTGTTTAATTTCTATTCGTTAAATTCAAAATTTTTGAAATTTTAATTTATAACTTTAGAAGAATAAAAAAATAATGCAATTTTAAATTTAGGAACTGCTAAAGTCCTTTTTCCAAATCCTTAAGATATGAAAATATTTTTTTAATTTTAGCCTCGGGATTAAATTATTTTTTTCATGCAGTATTATTTAGTTTCGATTCAGATATATTTGAAAAAAATGAACGAGTGGATCATTTAAGGTGGCTAGTTGTGAAAAAATAGTGCATTCTTATAAAAATTTATCACATATCATTACAAGTAGTGCATTTTTGTATAAAATGTTATCGCGCCCTGCAATGTAAACTGACGTTTAGAAAGTAATTAATTTACTGTTAAACATCGGTTCCACACATTTTTGTTCCATTAATGACAAGTTGAATAAAGTTTTATAGTAAATCCTTTCTTCTCATTAATAAGGCAGAATTTTAGGCTAATTAGTATTTAGATGCTTCGAATAACTATCGTTATTGAAAAATTCTGCTAATTTTGGACAAAATGTATACTTTGGAATTGAAATTGTCAGATTATTAATAAAGAGATATAAAGAAAGAAATGGTACTAAATTTTGTTTGTTATTCTTAGTTATGTTAATAAAAATTAGTTGGCATATAACGAAAGTTTTAGACAGAAAAATAGATCATTTAACAACTCACAAAACGATTAAAAATGAGTTAATTTTGAGAATCTTATTGTATGAGTAAATTAATGTTAAAGTTTGAATAAAAGGCAAGTATAATTACATAAGAAAACTCTAAAGATAAAGTTGAGTATTGTAAAGTTCAGATCATTAGTAATTAACTTAAAATCAATATTTCCAGTGCAAATTATCTGTTCACGTCATTTCTATTAAGTTTTAAATAACTGATATCTTTGTGCAGTAAAAAAAAGTATTTAAATATTATGTGCGCAAGGAGAAATACTTACACACAATGTATTTTAATTTTAATAATAATTTTGATTTACTTAAGCACATGGCGAAATTCTGTCAAAATTACCGCACTGTATAACAATGACATTTCTGTTAAAATGTAAACAGTATTTAAACCATTAATTGACATTAATTTTCCGTTCGTATGGTAAAAATTTACTGGAAATTCTGGTTTTCAAAATTTTAGTTTTATTTCCACAAAAAATACACACCTGAAAAGTAAATTGAACCCAATAAACGGTTTTTATGCCCTTCTCTAAATTTATCATGATGATATTATTAAGTTTTACATCAATTTCCGAATTTTATCACAGATTATAAAATGATATTTTATGATAAATTTTACTTTAACCATCATACCAAAGAGCTTCGGTAAAGATTACCGAAATTTTTGGTGTTGCCATAGTGCTAGAAACACGATAAATTTTACCATATTCTGAGAGTTTTGACTGTACTTTTTTCAAAGTGCATAGTTATTGAATATAAGCATTTTTTCATCTCATTACTCAACAAGATGCATTGAATTATTCTTATATGATGAAGAAATATTGGTGTCAAATATTTCATAGAATTTATAGCCGTGAAAAAAAAAGAAACCAAGTACTGGAAAATGATCGAAAATATACAAAACGTATTACAGCAAACAAATTTTCGTTATTCTATTAACATAAAAGCTTTTATGTAAATAGATTGTTAAAGCAACATTCTTTATTAATATTTTCAAAACTTTACAAATGAAAATTCTTTTTTTAAAAAAAATTATGCGCTGGCTGCTCTCTAAAAGTATTCTATCAAAAATAGTAGAAAACTAAAATTTATTTTTCTTTTCTTCAAAATTTATGGCAAACAATTTTATTTTTCTCTGCGATCCCAAAAAGTATTTGTTTAACGAGTGAAGTTGACATTTTTTATATAACAAATTATTGTTAAGTGACAATTCTTAAATTATTATTTAACTCATTTTTTTTTACTGAGATTAGTGAAACATAATTTTATAACAGAAAACACAACTTAGAGTGTTGCATTCGAAAGTCTATCTAACGCGTGGATAAGATTTTAAAAACAATATTTTTATTTTATTTTATTTTTTTATTTTTACATAGCTTAAGAGCATGCAATATAATTAAAGTTGAAACTCAAATACATGAAAATATGGATAGCGTTTTGGTTTAAAGAATATAAATAAGTTTCAGGATTCAAAGTAGGAATCCTAAAAAACGCTCTTGTTTTTCAAAGCGTTGATTATTTCTTATAGCGTTTATACATGCATACATTTGAGAAAAAACATTTGAAAATATAATGCGAATATTTATTGAAATTAATGACCTGTAGTTTCAGCTTTGTTATGAGATCAACACACATGCATAAAAAGGCAGGTTTTTTTTTAATTATCTACAATAACGAAAAAGTGAAAATAGTCATATGCTTTGGTTCTAAATACAAAAAAAATTCTTTCGCAAAATTTTTAAATTTACTTATAAAAATAAGTGTAATTATGTGTCAAAGTACAGAAAGTGGGTTTAAAATATTTTTTCCCAAATGATTTTGCGAAAATCAACAATGATTAGAATGAATGCAAACCCGGGCAGAATTATCTTTCGAATTATCTTCTCCCTTTTAGTAGTTCTGGTCCATTTAAAATGATTTGTTTTGTATCTAAACAAATACTACAATGAAGAGTTCCAAAAGTCTGTTAAAATCAATAAATTACTTAATATGTATGGTCAAGTGGGGTAAAGTGGGGACATTGGGTGAAAAATAATTATTTACTCTTTTTAAATTCAGATAGTTTGTTTAATTTTTTAGAGACATTTACTGGGATTGCGCCATTAATTTTTATTTTAGTTTTAGAAACTGGCAAAATATTTGATGTTTACAAACTATCTGTTTATGTTCAACTTATACAGTATGTTAGTTTATGCTGTTTATAAACTTTTTTCTAACATCATTAAAAACTGACAAAAATTATTAATTTTAGTTCAAACTGGTAGAGAGATATCTAAAGAACAGATCTACATGGAATAAATTTCAAAATTTCTATTTATAATGAAATGTTTTCTGATGTGGGGTAAAGTGGTTATATGGTTGGGATTAGTTAAGTTGTAGAAGGAATATTTTTTTACTTCTGTGTTAGCTTTAGTAAATATGTAAGGCTCTATATTTTGTGATAAAAAATAATTTACTTATTAGATTACAGTCCTGCAGAGTATTTTTAATACTGGAAACAAAATCATAAAATTTTATTTTTTAAATGAAAGGTTATTTTTTAAAAGAATGATGGGGGAATAACAATATGACAGACATATTAGAAATATTAGACAGACAAATAACAAGGTAATAGACATAGTTTCTGCCTTCCTATGGCAGTTTTTTCATGGAAAACGAAACAATTTTCTTAAAATGACTAAGTTGAGTAAAAATACATGTCTGCTGTAAATCGTAACAACTCTTTAAATTACCAATATGGATATTAATTTTCAGACTCTAATTTATATTTCAAATGAACCAAAAACTATTACAGTTTTTTTTATTTTTTGATGAAATTGTATAGAGTTTAGCCAAATATACTGCATCCGAAGTGTAGATTAATTTTGATAGCCATGAACATTAACACTTTAATTTACTAATACGAAAAAAAATATTTTTCGACATTTATTTTTTTAAATGTAATCATGATAGATTTATTAAAGAGCATTTTATTTCTATAACAAAATTTATATAGGTTTTTTAGTATAATATAGATCAATTTCAGAGCCATACCCATTTCACCCCTCTCTGGGGTAAAGTAAGTACTGTATCAAAATATGTTCTTTAGAATGCATTACAGCAAGACAACAAAATAGATAAATAATGCTTCATATTTAATCTATATGAATCCAATGTTAAGAAAATGCATCAAAATTTTCAGTAAAATTAATTTAGTGATTTGGGTTTAGTCCCTACTTTAAAAAAGAAAATTGAATTTATACCCACTTTACCCCACCTGACTCTTAACTAATTTATACAAGGCGATAAAAATATTTGGTAAAATTACCGTAGTGGCATTGGCATTTTCGGTATAAAAGAAAATAAGTTATAATTCTGACCAAAATTCAGGGTATTTAAATCATTTATTTGATAATTTTTCGATTAATTTGTTAACGGTCTAGAGGAAATTCTGGTTTTCAAATTACAGTTCTTATTACCACACATTTAGCGAGAAATGCTAAACTAAAGAGTAAATTGAACCAAATAAATTTTTTATACCATGCTCTTAGACATCATGATAAAATTATTAAATTTTACCACATTTACCAAATTTAATCACTTATTATAAAAACATATTTTCGCGTTAATTTTACCAAAATCATTACCAAAGTGCTTCGGTAAAATTTATCGGGAGATTTTTAGTGTTACCATAAATTTAGAAACAGAGTAAATTTGGCCATATTCTGGAAGTTTTGATCATATTTTTTTAATCAGTTTACCTTTTCTGATTTATTAAACCTTCAAAAAAAAACCTTTACGATTCTTCAAAAAAATAATTTTTTAATTATTTTATGCAATAGAAATTACTAATTTGATTTGAAGAATGGGCTTCTTGAAACAAGATATTTTTGAAATATAACTTGCTAATGTTTTTTAAACTTATAATGAAAGTTAAACATTTAAATTTAAAATCCAATAAAAATAAAAATTGATGCTTACCAATTATAGCCGCAATTATAGGTAAAGCTATTCCAACAACAATAATAAATTTCATTTTGCTATGACTTTTCGAAGATGTTTCAGAATCTATTGAATGTCTAGATGAATGTGTTCTATGTCTACTTCGTTCAGATCCATAACTTTTCGATGAAACAGAAGATAAAGATGTAGGCACTCTAGAACTTCGCATTTTCTTCAGTTATATAACTACTTATGTGTTTTATTTTTAGAAATAAGAATTTCACTTCATTAGAAATAAAGCACAGAAATGGCACAGATGAAGAAAACGTAATCTTTCTGGAATAAGTCACACTAGTTTAATCGTCCAAAATTTTGTATAAAATTAAGATTAATTGAAAAATGTAATTTAATTGGGAAACAAATATGAATTAGAATAGTAATTTTAAAAAGTAAAATTAATAGTAAGTAAATGAATACGGATTAAAATTATTCTATTTCCAAACAATCTGTAGTTTGCAGACGATATTTTGAAAGAAAGATATATGAAATTTGAAACGAACAAAAAATTATTAGCATATCAAATCAGTGCTACACGTCTCCATCACTTTCATATTCAAATACAACTGCCGGCATTAGAATATTTCTTATAATATCAACCACGCAAGCCTCACCCGCCATGCGAAACAAGAAGTTCCATTTTAAAAATCGTCTGAAAAATTACTAACTCCACCTCGTTATTGTGATGAAGAAAGTGACGTCACTGATCCGCAACCAATAACTTCTTTTTTAGAAAGTAAAGCCAAGTGACAAATATTGGCGAGAATTCATTTTTGGAGAGAATATGTCACGATGTCAGTGGGAGCGACTGCATAATGATTTCGATGAGTTTACTTCCCCATTAACTTAGTTTTGAAACTGTATATAGAAGATTGAGAAAGAGGAAAATTTTTACTTCCGTTACAAGCCCTTCATTTTCTTTTCATGAAAATATTATGACACTGATACAAAATTCATTGTTTACTCGCAATTTTTAAATATGTATTGTTGAGTAATTTTACATTTTAATATATATTCGTATTAAAATGACAGACGTAACTTTCAGTGTATTTTCGTAACAAATGTAGATATTTTCTTGCATACTTTGCCTCAAAATCTTTAAATCAAGTCTGAGGAGTCGAGGAAAGTTTTGAGATAATCCTAGAGAGTAAACGAATAAAAAAATGTTTGATCTTATGAAAAACTATTTAAACAAATCTTTATAATTATATATACAGTGGAATCCCGGTTTTACGTTGTTCGTTTCGTACGTTTTCCAGCTTGCTGCGTCATTTTCTGCCTGTCAGTAATAATTGCCTATTCTGATAATGTTAATTTATCCCAGATTTTACATTACCATTTTTAAGAAAATATCACTTTATGCATTTTTCTAACGAATCAAAATCATTCTTTTCTCTACAAAGCTTGTACAATCCTTTTCTGAGTACTGTTTCTTTTCTTCTTCTTCTTTTTTTTAAAACAAAAAAAAGATTTGTTTATTTGCTGCTTGAAGCTCTTCTGACATTTTTTTGATTTTATCGTATAGTTCTTTTGTCTGTGAAAGGGGATTTCTCCCTTGAGTCAAAATCAGAAGAGTGGTGGGACACTCTTAGAGAGAAAGGGGTGTTATAGGGAGTTTGGGAGCGTAAATTGTAAAATTTGCAAGTGGGATTATTTTTAGCTAACTTCAAACTTTGAATCTTGGAATAAAGAACTTTTCATTAAGCAGCTGGTTAAGTAATCAATTTTCTTGATTCTGTTGACCTGCAAGACGCTTCTAAAGCAAAATTAAATGTTCTGAAAACTCTGAATTTGATTTCTACATCATTGGACAGTATCGACTAAAATACATTTCAAATTAGTATATTAAGCCATGCTTCTCAGTATCAAACGGGAATATTGGCCGTTCAGAATAAAATTGCGTCGCTGAAAATGTTCCGAAGTTAATGACGCGCATATCCATTACAGCACAAAACCACATTACTTTTCAACTCCCTTCAGTATCTCATATAATGCTTGCTCGCAATGATAGGAATGAATATGCGTAAAAATATTGGGGGATATATCCATAACTGAAAAATAGTTCCAAAGCGCAAAACTCTGGTTCAATACTGATTAGCAAATTTACACCTAAAAGCAAATTGGCAAACAATAGTAAGTATTGTGAGGGATATTGTTGAAATTGTATCTAAAAACAAAAAAACAAGTAAGCACATTTTTTCTACAAGTCATCTCGTTAGTCCATTTTTTGAAAAATAGGCTTACATTTATTACCCNAATTTAATTATAATACTTACAGAGTAGTGGGATGAGTTTTCTATCTTATCTCAAGAGACGGGGATGAAAATAATTTTAATACTTCTGGTGCCTGCTATGCTTAAATATCTCGATCTCTATGGTGGTTTGTATGATTTAATGGCTATCGATAAATCAGATTTTATATTGTTGCTATAATTCAATACGTAAAGAACATTGAGAATATCGTGGATATATCTTGCAAATAGGTACATTTGACATCGAAGTTCTACCTCGCGAACAGAACCACGGGCATCAGCTAGACTGTGAAAAAAATATTAATACATTGTTTAAAACTATTAGAAGTTTTAGGATTGGAAAAGGGGGGATGAGGAATTAGAATATTTGAATACGGTTGTGATGTGCACACGGCTTGGTAACCATTAAAGTTTATATGTTGTACGATATAATCTTGAAAGGTGACCCAAGCTGGTCGCTAAATGCGGCTGGTATTAACTACTAATGTACAATTGTTAAAAAAGATTTATTTATTATTAAAAAACTGAAGAAAAAAAATATAATTATAATTACAAATTGAATGCAAATGTAATATTTGAAATATATTCAATAAATTCAATTAAATATATTCAATTTGAAATATATTCAATAATAATATTCAATAAACTAAAAAAATAATGAAAAAATAATATTTATATTTTCCTAGGATTCGGTGAAAATTTTAATGATATACCATCCAAACACGGAATCGGGTTTCAGAAAATTCCAGAGTCGAGAATTTTTATTAGCAACCTGCAAATTTCCTAAATATGTAATGAAATTTAAATGTCCATGTTCTTAAAACAGACTTAAAAGAAAACTGTAAGCAGTTCGTGTGAGTCGAACTTTTAACTTTAACACTACTTTCATGAAAACTGTTAGATATATATAGATTACGTGGAACATCCAGATCTTATCCGGAAGGTCTTATACTGTAAAAAATATCGGATCAGATTACTGTAAAAAGTACATTTAAATAATTTACATTTAAATAAAAATACATTTTACCGTACAATGCATTTTTACCGTAAAATTATGCGTAACAAAAATTTCTGATGTATCGTCATTTATACTGTAATATTTAAAGTAGTTGAATAAATATTACTGTAAAAATTTCGCGCAAAATTTTACGGGAAAAATAGATTTTACATTAAGATTGATTTTTCGGATGTTACACTCAAGGTGTCAGTACTTTTTACCATAATTTGATACAGAATTTCACAGTGTAGTATATGAAACAAGTTTTTTTTTAACATTGTAATATAATAAGTTACTTGCACATGAATAATGTTAACTAAATATATATGTTTTTCTCAAATAATTGTACAATTAAAGCGAAATATATAGCATGGTACGGTATGTCCCTTTTGAGCTGCTACAATTAGGAGCATTAAATTCAATTTAAATTTTTAAATTTCGCTTTTTCATATAGTTAAAAAACTTTAAACATCATCTATGTTTTTTTATACTGTGATTACTTTTTGCTTTAACCAAACCATGTTTTTTGTGTACTACTAATAACTCGTAAAATTAATTTAGCGAAGATCCTTTTCTAAATTTCTAGACTCATTGACATTTCTTGAAACTAGGTATAAAATTTAAAATTATTGCAGCTATCGAACCATAAAATTAGAATTTTTTGGCAAGAAGCGTTTGTTGAAATGATGTGTCATTGAGTCATCCGTAAATACATAATCGCAATGCCCTACGAGAAGCTTAAATGGTTTTAAGACATAAGTGTTAATTTGCTCTTGCATTTTGTATCTAACCTGTTGTTGTAGCCCTTTTACAATGCTGCAAGAATAAATTATCCATGAGTGTTAGCTCCATTTCAGAGTTAATCTACTGCGAAATAGAACAAACACTCATCGATTAATCTCAATGGTTAATTAAATTAAGCAATAATGTCTTATTCATTGTTAGAATGATTGTTGTTGTATACTATTGGTTATTACAATAAATATGAATATTTGATCGAAAATCAGATACAAGTGTTTAGGAAGAGAAAATCGAATAGGGTTATAACAAAGCATTAAAAAGCGTAATTTCAAATATCTATGCAAAGTTAAAAAAAAAAAAGAGTTGTGAGTCTGCATTTCCGTGGCTTTTCTTTATAGCTCCAAAACCGTTTGTGGTAATGGTATTAAAATTTGGATAGCAGCTGGGAGAGGAATTTTAACCTCGGATTCAAATTTTCAGTTTGTTTGTTTGTGAGAGATGTTTGTAAAATAAATTTTTTTCATTGGTTTAGCATTAATCACTTTTATAAATTAAACTAAAAAGTTATCATCTGTCAAATATTTTAAAGATAATAGCATTTCTGAAAGATGATAGCATTAGCAATAAAGATGACGGCATTTCTCAGCGATTTTCGCTAGCTTGCAGCTCTATTTAATCAAAAAATTAGTTCATTCCACGCTATTCTTGATTGCGGATTGGTCAGTCAAAGTTGATTAAGATTAGTAAACTATTACATACTAAAATCAAGATGGATATCAGGCTAATCTTAATATGCTGGAATGAGTGATCACAAAAGCGGCATTGCTTCAGCTAGGTTAGTAATGCATTGTATGCAAATATTGTTTGAAGTTGTCTGCGATATTCGTCCAACATTTCTCATTCCTTCTTGATAAAGTCAATTGATAGAAAAGTAGAAATATTTTTAAGTTGCTTTAAAATACCAAACATGGTTCTTTGCTCTCAAAAATTTTTAACTTTCAATTTAGCTTTAAAAAATTCCGAGAAAAATTTAATACCTAAACTAATAAAATTTTCCTCTTAGAAGTATTCTCTTATAACTTACGCATTTCTACTTTTTTATTATGTTAATAAAACCGATGAAAACACTAAGATTAATTTAAAGCAAAGATATTTCATTTGAAAAATAATTATTGCATTTCATAGAATAATTTCAAAGTCACAAATACCGTTCTTTACACCATAAAAATAAATTTCTAATGATACTTAATGTTTTAGTTCTTCGTATAAGCAATGAACTTTTTTCATCAAAAGACGGTTAACCGTTGGAAGTTTTCGCGTTTTCCCTCTCCATGCAACGCAAAGGCGTGTTAGTTCCATCAAAATGTCCTCCACGAAGGCAAAATTT